CCCTGGAGTTAATTCGTTTGGCTTCTCCAGTTCTTATTAGTAGCTCAGAAGGGTTGTACCTTAGCTTGGTGCCAGACAAGAGGATTTGCACTTCCAATTGGGTTTCGACTATCCTGCTGCAGTTGATGAAGCAAAGTCCTTCTTAGAGGCATGAGGTTTGCAAACAGCAGCTTGTCCTGCCCTGAGGGGGAAGCTGCCTTGCCTTCCCCCCAACACACACAGCGAGGGCTCTCCCCGCTCGTTTATGTGAATAATAATGAACCAACCTGAGGAGTGAAATGACTGAAATGATTTCTCTCCCTGTTTCTCTTTGCAGACCTGAAGACTATATGAAGTTGTCCCTAGCCTCCTCCTAAAGGCATCCCTTGGCATCATTAAAGGCTTGAGAGAAATACCAAAACCAACCAAACACACCCATAAGAGAAATCCATAAACCCTCAAAACTTGGGATCCCCTCTTGGTCTGAAGTTGAGTTCTTCAAAAACTCCTGTCAAGTTTGAGGATATCCTATTTTTTTGGCTCCACGGACTGGGGCTGGGCCCAAGCAATGACCTGAGTTGTGTTTGGGGGACTGGGAAGAACCTTCTTCCCTCTCCCCCAAGCAAAACCCAAAGTGAACACTAAATATGCAACAAGTCTATTAGTTGTGTTGGCTTCATGTATGAGGCCATGAAATCCATGTTGTTCCTTTCCTGGGGTGGACAATCCATAGCTCTGCTCTCAGACCAGCTGGGACCTTGTACCAGAATCTCAAGTTGTTTTGTCCTGGGGTCAAAGTCCTCTTTGTTGCTGGGGGGGTGGTAACTGCCTGTGATTTCCAGTGTTGTGCAAAGCTGCTTTACTCCGAGGGCTGGAGGAACGAAGTGGGGTCCATGTGAGGGATGGCAGACGATGGCTGGGCTGACTCAAATTTGCTTCTGTAGTTATTTTAGCAGAGAGCTGGTTCTGTAGGTACACAGGATACTCAAGAAGTGATGAAGTTTGATCGTTTAGCTGTTCTGCTTGGGGTGGAGAGGCCACACTTTGGCTGCTGTTATTATCTGCATCCTCACTTTTCCCTACCCCAGTTCCCAAGAGGAGAGACCCAAGGAGGCAGCTATGGCATCAGGGGTTCCCTCTGGCTCAGGATGGGATAGTGGAGGTCCTGGGAGAGGCACACTCCCCATTCCTCTGCCTGCTGGCTATTCCAGTGCCCTCTTCTCTTGCTGGTCCATGGGAGCCAGAGCTCAGCGTTGCCCCTCAGCTCTGTCACACAGAGCAGATGAATTTGGCTGGGCACATGCTCTGTTTTAAATCAAACCCAGCTGGTTTTTGAGAGAGAGAAGAGGGTCCAAGTCCTTCAGTGATGTTGTAGAACCACCAGGCTGGGTGGGGATGTGTCCTCCAAAGCTTCTTTGTCACTGCCTCTTGGCTAACACTGCAAACATATCAGGAACCCAACAGGCTGCTTTTTCTTTTCCTTTTTAATTCCTATGCAGACAATACTTGAAACCTTGTACACAGTTGTCCTTTCCAGCGCCTGGGGTTGGCAAACTCTTAATAAATGGTCTCGTTTAAAGAACAGCAGGAGGCTTCAGCTTTAGAAGAGGCTGGGCTGCCCTCTCCCAGCCGACAACTGCAAGCGTTGTTCAGTGGTTTGCATATGAATTTAGGCACATCTGGACCCTCTGCTTCAACATCCTGCTGGTACAGCCGCTGTCTCTCCTCGGTACTGGCTGGCTGACTGTGTCCCAAGCACCCAACTATGCAAAGAATGCCTTATATCCGTTGTGTTTAAGTTACATGGCAATATGTACATCCAGCAAAGTCGGTAGCTAAGTCCAGATTTTTGCTAGCGGCAGCAAGTCAAACTCTTTCTTCAACTCAAATGGCTGTCTGGGTATTTTTTACTTTTATTTGGTTTTGTTTGTTTTGTATCTGATGGTGGTTCTTATACAAAGGACTGTAATTCTAGTGGCTTGAATCTGTAAAAATTGCCTTTGTTTGGTCCAATAAACCTTTGAATAGTTTATTTGGTTTGTGCTTGTTGTCCCTACCTCCAGCAGCTTGTAACTTCTTCCTCAAGAGATTTGTGTTGAAAATCTGGATTTTAGGTTGGATTTTAGGTTACTATGACTTTTATGCCATAAATGATTACATTCCCATAAATGATCAGAGGGAAAATCAGGGATATTCCCCTTTTTCTGCTGAAGCAATGCAGTGTTGCATTCCTGCTCTTGTTTGGCTGCAGAGCAATTGACAACATTCCCAATGCAGAGCTCTGCCCAGGATTTCAGCTGCTGTGGTCACAGGTGCTTAGTAGTTCCTAAACCCCAGATCTCTAACATACCTATGGCTCACTGCCCCAAATCTCCAGCTAACCGTAAAAGTATTGGACTGAAATGTCTAAAAAGAGCCTAAGGGAGATAAGTAGGGAAATATAATTACCTATGAAGAAGAATTAGGCTGCTTCAAAAATCCTTAATTAATCTATTTTGTTAGCAATAAGTAAAATCCTGTTTGACCTCCTGAATCCAAGTAGTTTTGAGGACAGCATTTATGAGAAGAGAGAATGATTTTATTTGTGAATGGGGTATGTTTGATCTGAACTCATCCAAAAAAATATCCAAAACCAAACCAAGCTGGATCACTACAAGGTTGTTTTGCAAGGTCGCCTCTGATAGGAGAAGCTCCTCTTCAAAGACAGTTTCATGTTTGTGGTGCCTTACTCTTCCTTCCCAGGCTCTCTTCTCTCTTTATCTTTGTTTTGCTGTCCCTTTGTAGTAGATTGTGTAGTGCAGAGAAGTAACAGCAGTAACAGCTCTTTTTTCTATTTTCCAAATGCACAGTCATGATATTTAAAGTTGAGGGGAGAGCCAAAATGCATTGATGTTGTGCTTCAAAAAAAGAGAGTGAATATTGTCTGTGATCCTGATTTTGGAGACAAGGAAACGGGCCTTTGGAGAGGTTTCAGCAGCGCTCATGTCTGTGAAATGAGGAGTGAGGGATGCAGACCTGTGTGAGCACTCGCAGCTGGGATGCACTGCAGACACAGGAGGCCAAGCTGTGTATTGAATTTCTCCACACCAGACTGGCAACGTGCCCTCTGGTGCCCAGTGGTGATCTAAAATAAAATATTGATCACTCATGACCCTGCTTCCCTTCCTCTCATCTGGAAAGGGCAGCTGGATGCTCTTCCTGTGAGCACAAAACATTACAGAAGAGGCAAACAAATCCAGGCTTCCATAAACAAAAGATCCCACATCATTATCAGGATTTGTTTGGCTGCAGGACCGTTGCATTTTAATTGCAATGGAAAATAACTGGCAAATGAGCTTGCTTTAGCCAGGATCTGCTTTTTTCCTGCCCTGTTTGCTTCAGCAGTGCTGAGAGGACAGACTGCTGTTCCTGCTGCTGCTGGGGCTTAGCCCAGGAGACGGGAAAATGCAGAGCAGGAGCTCGGGAGCATGGGTAGAAGGTTCCTCTGCTCGTTCCTGACTGTCTTCCTCTCATCTTATTCCTGGTGTGGTGGCTGCTGGTGCGTTGGTGCTGTCCTTTCAAGCAAAGATTGTGCTCTGGTTTTGCCTGTCAATAGTTATTACTGCTCCTCCAGCTCCTGGAACAGATGACAGCTTGTCCACACAGGCCCTGCAGGAAGAGTACCCCAGGTTATCCAGCGGCGTGCATTTAAATGGATTAATTAAATGGTTTAAAGTCCTGCGTGGGAAGCTGGTTGTGGCAGGAAAGAGGACTCTTGACAAGGTGACCATGTGGGAGTAAAAGGCAAATTCTGTGTTTTTAGCCCACGGGAGGTCTAAGGGTGCTGAGCAAGCGGGAGAAGTTGGGATTGTGGCAGGTCTGTGCTCTGAGCTGTCACTGAGTTCTGGCCTCACGCTCATGCAGGGACAAAATGAGCCCTGAAGTAACAGGGCCTTCATCTGCCTTGTCACAGCCATAAAGCACCACATCCCCATTAGTTCTTTCTGTCTCCCACAGGAGAGTCAGGAATGAGATGTGCTAGCAATAGAGCAGCCTGATCCCCATCAGGTGGGAGTCTGGCAGTGGGAACATTCCATCCCTCAGCCAGCCCTGCCTGGAGCCACGTGCACATTCATCTTGCCCCAAAAGGGAATTTTGTGCAGTTACATCAGTTCATGAGCTACCTGCCAAGAAATGGCATTCCTGTGCTGCCCACCCTCTGTATCCCCCAGAGATGAGCGGTATAAATCCTCCTACAAATAAAGCCCTGTCACAGATACCAATCTTCTTGGGATGTGCAATGGTTAACTGGTTCAGGGTAGGGAAAATTCAAGATATCTTCTGTCACGGGGAGAAGGAGGTTATCTACTATGGGACTGCCTGGGGATTAAAAATCTGAGCTAGGTGGTCCACTGGTCAGCCTCTGCCTACACAGGGACCACGTCACTGCTGGACTGGCTACCTGGGTCCATCTCACCATTGGACATTGGGAGAAAAACTGGAATCAAAGCAAATTCCTCCTATCCGTGATCTTATCTTCCAGTGGCTGATTCAAATCATGTCCACACTGGGAGGTAGTCTGCTCTCTAGTTTTAAGTTAGGATATGCATCTAAAATTTAATAGCTATTCCTGAATTATTCTGTATCTACATCCTCTCATTACAGAAGGAAAGCACACTGGGCTGTTGAATCTTAACCCAGGTTTGCTATGGAGTCTGCTAAATTGACACATGTTGGCCTTACAAAATTCCATATGTCAAGTTATCTTGAAAGTTTGAGCATAGATAAGCCTTAAGGAGCTCCAAAGCCAGTGTTAAAGCAGGCTGGTTTATCTCCACGTTTAGGGAGCTGCAGGGTGATGGGATAGATGGGAAGGGGGAGGAAGGAGAGCCAGAGGCTATCTCTGCCTTATCTCACACGGGCAGATTTCCTGAAGCCAGTAAGGTTTGCACAGTGACCTGCCTTCGGCTCTGTGTTTCATTTCACAGTGGTGTTCTTGCTCCTGGACTGGCTATTCCTACTTCTCCTTTTCTTCTCGACAGGGTTCAGAGAGAGCAGCTGGCTGCCATCTTCAGACTGATGAAGGAAAAAAGTGACACGTTTGGAGAGATGTCTGAAGGGGACATGAAGGAGCAGCTCAGACTGTACGATATATAACCCTGCAGCCAGGGGAGCTTGTGCCCAAAAGCCATCTCGGCCCTTGTTCTGCAGGACACTGGAGGCTGTAGTGCTTTAAAAGTGTCCCAGTAGTTATTTTGCAGTTCCAGATTGTTTTGCAAACACATATAGGCCTGTGATATGTATTTCAAAAGACTTGTAATTCCTCAGCCTTTTAATAATTTTTCTTTGCAGAGCTATCATCTCGTACAGCAATTTTTTACCTCTTTCTGGCTGGTCATATGTCTCAGTCCTACAAAGCAGTTAAACTCACTTTTTTTCTGGCCATGCTTTATGCAAATGAACTCTCAAGCCTAGTCTTTCTCAGTTTGACATCTGAAGAAAGCCAAAGAAGATAGGTGTAAAATGAATGAAAATAATAGAATAACTCAGGTTGAAGGGTCCTGCAGTCCAGCCTCCTGCTAAAAGTTGTCAGACCAAGGTGGGTTACTCAGGGCTTTATCCTGTTGGGTCTTGAAAAGCTCCAAAGATGGAAACTGCCTCCCTCCCTTGGCAGGGAGGCTTCCAACCCTACGGTTAGAAAACAAACACCAAAAGCAAGGCATTAGCACTCTGATCAGGGCGTGTTGCCCCTCATCTCCCTGGAAAGAACACTTCATCCTCCTTCAGGCTGGCTTTTGAAACCAACCCAAGCTGGTTCTGGCTGACCTCGCTGAGATCATCCTCACGCCTGAGGAAGCAGCAGCAAACTCCAGCCTGGGAACACAAACATCTCCTGACACTGGGGAAGGGACCACAGAAAGGCTGCTGGGTTTATCACAAGGATGGTTGTGTCCACCCCAGATCCTGCTCTTCTCATACAAAATTATGTGGGAAACTACATACTTAGGAAATCTCTGTGATTTTATCAAGCATTTTGAACAGTCTTGAGCAGCTCTTGTTGGTTTGAATAGAGTAAATCAATGAGCATTCCTAATTACAACTAAATGTCTTCTGGTGTGCTTATCTCTCCTATGAAATCCTGTTAAATACTTTCTTATCAGGAAAAATTTTCTTGCTTTTAGTAACTGCTCACAAAGGGAGGCAACATTTTCTGCCCCAGTTTTAGGGAATGATCACTTAAAAAATTAGTTTTGCTTTATTTTGTGTAATCCTCTTCAGCCCAAGAAACCTAATATCTCATTATCTGCTGGCTGTCTCCCAGTACAGTGTGTTCTATAACATCAGACATTTAGATTTTAAGAATTATTTTATCTTCTAATTGTTTTCACTTAGGCCAAGGCATATTTATAATGAGTTCAAACTGGTTTTACTACCAATCATGACTTAATTTAAATGTAATGTCTGAAAATTACCTCTTCTTATTCAACATGAACGAATTAAGTGGGAAAAGCAGTCCCATGAAGTGAAATATCACTCTAGCTTGCTGTGTCCCTAGGACACAGTTTCCTTTGCCAAGCTGTGCAAAGGGAGAAATGTAGAAAAATCGTATATGGGACTTGTCCCTAGCTCAAAACTGAAATCAGGATCTTTTCCAAAACTTTTCATGAAAGCAAGCAAAGGAGAGATAAAGTGTAGTTGATTTTTAGTCTTTGTCTTGCAGACTTCACAGTTTATTTCCAAAATATTTTTATATTTCCTATGTTATGGTTGGTTCTTCTCTGAATAGGAACATTTCTGGGGCAGAAAAAAAAAAAATCCTCAAACCCTTCAGCTTCAGAGAATGCCAGCAATGACAACTCTGTATAAGGGACAGCAGCTGGGATTAACCCTGTCCTGTCCACACCAGCTCCCAGCACATCACCAAAATGTTCAGATGCTGCTGATAACAGGACAGTGGTGAAAAACCTGCTTTTTACTAGGCTCAGATTTAAGAAAGAAATTAAGATAAATAGAAAAAGATAAATAAAGAGCCTCTCTTTCCCCAAGACGCGAAAGGAAGGGGTGTCAAGGTGTGAAACCCACGGGTTTTGAATGCATTCCTCCATGCGCATTGGCAAGGCTGTAATGAGGAGCATCCTGCTGGACACATCCTTGCGGGTCCATGGAGGTGGTGGGGAGGGACCTGCAGCCATGGGGAACGTCCTGATTTGTTTGGGCATCTCCTGAGGCGCTTCCCCCGCTGGACTCGTCAATGTTTATACAGAAAATGTCACCAGGGCTGTGGCAGGGCTTCCCTTCATCTCCCCTTCCGGGATCCTCCTCTGAATAACTGCAGAGTCACAGAAGCCATTGCAGATTTATTTGTGTTGAAGTGACCTTAGAGTCACCAAGTTCCACCCCCACCCCAAAAGGGGATGGTGGCACTGGGGGATCCTGGTCTGGGGCAAAGGCACTGGGGGTCCCCGAGACAGGATAATGGCAGGGAGGGGTCCCTCATGAAGGGACAGTGACACTGGGGGTCCCTATGACAGGATAATGGCAGGGAGGGGTCCCTCATGAAGGGACAGTGACACTGAGGGGTCCCCATGACAGGATAATGGCAGGAGCAGTCCCTCATGAAGGGACAGTGACACTGGGGGTCCCTCACGAGGGGATGGCAGTACTGGGGGGTCCCCATGACAGGATAATGGCACTGAGGGGTCCCTCAAGAGGAGATGGTGGTACTGGGGGGTCTCTGGGACAGGATAATGGCAGTGAGGGGCCCCTCATGAAGGGACAGTGACACTGGGGGTCCCCATGACAGGATAATGGCAGGGAGGGGTCCCTCATGAGGGGATGGCATCACTGGGGGTCCCCATGACAGGATAATGGCAGGGAGGGGTGCCTCATGAAGGGACAGTGACACTGGGGGTCCCTCATGAGGGGACAGCAATACTGGGGGGTCTCCATGACATGCTAATGGCAGGGAGGGGTCCCTCATGAGGGGATGGAGGTACTGGGGGGTCCCCATGACAGGATAATGGCACTGAGGGGTGCCCGTGAGGGGACAGCGACACTGGGGGCGCCCCACGGCCGCGGGCCTCGCTGCCATGGCAAGAAGCGACGATTGCCATTGGACTGACATGTCCCTACAGGGCTCCCGTACGGCAAAGCGGAACGGGCTCGGACTGTCCCTGTGCGCCCTCCGTACCGCGCAGCGGCGGGGCGGAGCTGGCTTGAAACGCGCCGGGATGACCGTTACCGACAGCGCGCGTGCGCAATGAGTGACGTAATGCGCTGAGTATGACGTCAGTCGCTGCGGATTACGTAAATCTATGCGGATGACGTCACGCACTGCGGGTGACATCATATGGGCGCTGCATATGACGTCACGCAGGTGGCGCTGAGGCGGGGCCGGTGCCGTCCTCACGGCGATGGCGGCGCGGGGCGGCGGAGCGAGGGGAGCCCTCGGAACCTTGGGCCTGTGAGGCCCAGCTCGGAACTGAGAGCAGTGACGGGTTTGGCTTCACGAGGCAGCTGTGGTGGAAAACCAGCGCTGGGAGGAAAATAAACAGCGGGAAGGATCCCACTGAGTGATGAATGGAAATGATATTTGCCTTTACAAATAAACTGTAGCTTTGCTGGTAAATGGAATTGGATATTGAAAGATGAAAGAAACAATGGGGAAAAAACCATAAATTCCGTAAGGATTAAAAATGAAAATGGCGGGTTGTACATTAGAGGGAAATCTCTGGTATGAGGAATTTCAGGAAGTCTGTACCTCTCAAGTACCTCAGAAATGGGGAAAGAGAGAGGGAAATGTGGGAAATTGGGATAAAAAGCAGGCTGAGGCCTCCAAAAACTTGAGAGACCGCAGGGGAATGCCCCATGGCCTCTCCCTTTATTCAAATAAAGTGAAAGGACTCCTCTGTCTCCTGTTTGGACATAAACCTCTGGTGTTTGTGGGTGAATTTTCCTGACAGAATTAAACAGGATCCAATTTGAGAGCTTGGAAAAGGCTTCCAAACTCAGGTGTTAGAAGCAAGAATGTGGATTTGTAGTTTAAAGCAGAGACACGTTAAGTGGGAGAAAGTTTAGAGTTTTAGAGTTTAAGATGTAAAAGTAGTTACAGAGGTAAACAAGGAGTTTAGAATGCAGCACTGTAGGTTTGTGTGCCATAACATGATTGGCTAAGAAAGCTTAAACTTTAGCATGGGTCCATAAGGCAAAATATTTAAGAATTGGGTCAAAAACATGAATATCCTTGTTGGCAGTGTTTTATTGGATGATAAATCCTTAAAAGGTCTTGTAACTGAGAGTCTTGTGATCTTCTGAACCATGCTGTAATGATGTGGGCTGAATTCACCCTTCCTGCCTATGTAGAAGAAAATAAAGCACATCATCAAAAACAACTCAGAGGTCCCGTGTCGAACTCTTTCAAAACTCCTTCAAAAATCCCCGGAACTGTGGGTCCTGTGAGGGCTCTGAGGGCTCCCATATTCAGAGCTCTCTTCTTTAGCTCAGTCCAGCCTCTGCTCTAGCTCAGCCTGCACAAGGCATCACTCTGATCACAGAGTCTGCCTGAGCAGGGACACACTGTTTATTCTGCATTGTTTATTCTGTGCACAGGGGAGGTTTCCACAAATCAAACAGGTGAAAGGTCACCTCTTTTATACAGTAAAATTCACATGAATTTGCCTGTCTAATACATATTTAACAGCAAGTTGGACAAGCCCAACTCCCTGAACTGACACCAGCTGCAGAGGGGGAAACACCTGCAGTCACATCATGGAGCACAAGATTCACCATTTCCAGCAGCAACCCCTGCAAAAAGCTCATTTTAACAATCTGTAGAGAAATCTCAGATCCCTATCAAAGCTGCCTGCACAGCCAGAAGGGAATTCTGCTCATTTTTATCTTCCCCTGCCTTGAGTTGGGCTTGTCCCAGCACATCCTTGCTGTTAAAGTCTCTGTAGGAGAAGAGGTGGGTTGGCACTGTCCTTTTCTTGGAAAAAAATTAGAATACTTATAGATGGGAAAGAGTCTCGCTGCCCAGACACCATGAACCCTCTGCTTTTTGCATCTATAAGGTTATTTTCTACCTTGTGTTGCCTCCTGTGCTCTTCAGGGGCATTCTGGGATTTTTTTGTGAACTATGTCAAATATTTCGAATAAATTCCTCAGGGGTATTTCTCAGAATGAACCAAAGGCAAAATTCTTCACTAATACCTGCCAGAGGAGAGCAAGCAGGAGTTTCCAGAGCAGCTTTGGAGTTGGAACACTAACAAACACCCCACTACTTCCTTCCTGCCTCACCCTTCCAGTCCCTCGTGTCTCTTGACCACTGTTGCCGGGCAGGGAATTAATTTAAAATAGTTGCGATTTATCCCCATAAGAACAAAGGAACAAAGTTCAAAAATCATGTGGGTAACAATCTGTTTTAGATATAATTTCCCCTGGAAGGTGAAATAACTTGCTCTGAAAGTTTTTTTACCTGGTGCCTGTGGGGAATTTGGGCAGTAATTCAGTGAGTGTGGGGAACAAGCAGCTCCTATTTTAAAAAAGCAGCTTCACCTTTACTGCCTTTGCTTTTGTTGGTGAATCACATTTTGATATAAGGACTGTATAAAAAGTAACCCCCTCAGCACTGAAGCCTTTTCTGCCTGCATTGCTCTGGAAGTTTTCTGACCAACACAACCTCAGAGGTGGTGAAAAATGTACAGTGGTGTCTTCTACCTTCTGGTTGTGGCAGCTGAGTGGCATTTTGGTTTTTTAATTATTTCTCCATAATATGACTAATGTTTTTCTCACAAAAGTGAGTGTCCATAGGGATTTTGACATGTCCTAGGAATCAATTTTTTATGTGAGTCCTCTCTAAATATCAAATGAAGCAGCAGAGGTTACAAGTTGTGGAAGCAGCAGATGATAAGAATTCCTAAAGATAGGCTCAGGAGATGGGGATGGAGTGCCAGTGCCATGGATTTGAATCTGACTTTGGACAGGCACAGAGCAAAACATGGAGAGCCCTATGGTTTGTTTTGTTGTTTCTTTTTTTAAAATTTTGAATAGATCTTATTCAGCTCATCCAGTCACTGGATCCCAGCCAACACTTCTGGAATAGCTGTAAGACACTTTTTTCTTTTTTCTTTTTTCTTTTTTTTTTTTTTCAACCTAAAGGGGAAATTCTCCTGTCTGAAATTCTTTCTTAATTCCCAAAGTAGGTCAGGAATGCAGCCATTGAGGTTTGTGCTGTCCTGAGTCACGGTGTGCTCAACTGTTGGGAATGCTAAATTGCACTGGGAACAATAAACACAAAGTGGAAGTATTTCATAGTTTGTTTCATCTTAATTTGTCTCAAAGGAAGGGGATAATTGATTTCGTTTTCCATGAAAAGCTGCTGCCAAACCTGCTGTGGGGATTGTGACTTCCCAGGCGTTGAAGCAAGTCGTTAGGGATGCTGCTGCAGGGAGGGATGAGCCAGCTGACATCACCCTGGGGAAGCACAAACAGCCTCAGCACATGTCCAAAATCGGCAGTGGGACTGGGCCAGGCAGGGCAGGGAGGCTGTGAGCACCCTGGGGACACATAAATGTGCACCCTGCACACATTTATGGGACCATCCCCAAATAATCCTTGGATTCCAGTGGATGCATGGGAGCAGTGGGTTCCTCACCTTCCCAAGGCACCTTCTGAACCTCAAGAATTAGACATCCTTGGCTCCATGTACATGACCTATTGTGTCTAATTTAATTATTCAGGGAAATTCACCTGGGGACTCTCTGCACCACCACGGGCTGTGCCTGTGAGAAATCCAGGTGAGGGATGATGAGTCCTCACAGGGCAGTCAGTTTTTCCTCCTCTGCACTGGGGAAGAGATTGCAGCCCTGCAGGAAGGAGCACTTGGAGAGAGGTGGTGCTGCCTGGCAGTGGAAAGTGGGTTTTTTTCTGGAGCTCTTCATAACTGCCCTCCTGCAATGGCTCATGTTTGCTAACCCAAGGGTAACTTGAACGCAGCCCTGCAGTGCTCCCAGCTGGAATAAAGCTCATATCCTGCAAATGTGGGCAAAAGGAACGTGGAGCCAGCAGTGTTTATCCTCTGGATGGTGCTGTTGTGTTGTACAAACAGCAGAGAGCTCCGGTTGAACATTTCAGATGCTGTTTGCTCCGGGGAGGGTTAAGGATGTGCTCAGTCCTTTTCTATTCACAAATCTCTCACAAATCCTCTGTGCTGGGATCCACCTGTTCTCCAGCATTCCTGAGACTGGCTAAACGTAGCTAATGAGTACTGATGAGAAAACTCATATTTTCTGAGCAATTCCTCCTGGTCAGGACCAGGAGTTTTTTTAGCATCTTATTTAAAACTTCCCTCGTTCCCTCAGCCACCAAGAGTTCAGCTCTGTTTCACCTATGGGATGAGCATTTGTTGGCTCAAGGGAGTGCACTGAGCTGGCCTGGAGTCACAGGAAAAAAAAAAAATCTTTGTCTTGATTAAATTTCACTGTGGGGGAAGAGAAGGCACATGCCTCTGAGGAAGCCAAAGTTCCAGAGGTCAGACTCTGATGTTTAAATGTTGTTTGTCTTCATAGCTCCAGATAAGATCTGAAATAGGTATTTCCTACTGTAATGTGTGTGACCTTTTTCTAATGGTCTTGGAACTTTATTGTTTTGTTTTATAACTCTGTCATAAAGATATAACTGCAATCCTTATGGAGGAGAGGACGTTGTGGATCATTGCCTCTGTCATTTGTCTTCCTTGTCAACACTGCTATAACCCTTTTATCAGAGAGAAAACCAGCAGCCTGTGTGATGTTAGATATTGTTTTGTGACTGCCTGTGACTCAGTTCTACTCCTGATAATTGATGGAGGTAGAAATTAACTCAAAATGCTTTTTTTTTGGAAATGGGAGGGTGGTAAAGGAGTGGTGGAAGTGTTTGGTTTGTAGTCAGTAAGGAAGGTCTCACTGGCTCAGTAACTCTCCTGAAAGGTGGTGCTTTGACTTTGTAGTGCCTTCCAGCATCAGAGAACTGGCTGTCATCTTCTTTCTTTGCAGATACCCAAACTGTGGTAGCAGAGCAGAGCATTGCAGAGAAAGCTGCAGTCTGCTCTTTCTGGCGACCACTGCAAGTCCATGGGGTACAGGGAGAACCCCCTGTGTGACAGCTCAGAGCTGTGTCTGGTGTCCCTGGCCAGGCTTGTGTCCGTGTTGGGTCCCTGCAGCAGCTGTGGTGAGCTGAGCAAGAGCTGGTGTCCAGGATGTGGGCAGGGTGTGCCCAGCCAGAGACTGGCTGCTCCCAGCTGGGCAAAGCAGAGGGCAGCAGAGGGAGTGTCTGACTCTGAGGTGCCAGTGGTTCACACAGGAAGCAAGTCCTGATTTCTGATGAAAAACAGCATCAGATTCATGCTTTAAATTCTCATCTTACTGTAAGCCACAGTAGTGGCTCCCCACTGGAGCACAGGATCTTTTAAATCCCTCCTGTCACCCTGAATTCCCTTTAGCTGCCACTCTGTTTATGTGGAGCGTGTCCTTTCATGTCAGCAAGGACCACTAAAAAATCCAGCTGTTTAACCTTGGAGGAGAAACAGCCCAGCAGCTAATGGATGTGACTGACCTGTGGTGGGAAGAGGCACATAGTGAAGATGGGACTGGAGGGATAAACCAGACTGCCTGGGAATACAGATTTGCAAGGAGATGGAATGACTGACTGCTCAGGCTTGTCCCAGCATCTGACTCTTTACCAAAAGTTAGAGCTAAAATGGAAGATTTATCATTTCTGGAGACTTCCAAGATGTGGTCAGAATGTCTGGGAGGGAGATCACACCTGCTGATTTCTGAACTTTCTGATTGTTTTGGCTTTTTGTCAGAAGCTCTCCTCTCTGTGTGCTTACATACTTCAGTTTTGAAGGGTCTGACCAGATACTGTCCATTCCTCTTCCATGCTCTTTGTTCTGTTTGCTTTTCCACTGTGATGTGAAGCCTGTGGATGAGTTACTGCATGGCAGTAGTAGGAACACCAGAAGAAACCAAATGGAGAAAATAGAAACCCCAGCTTTCCTCTGTACAGACTACGCTGAAATTTTCACACCCACACACTTAAATCAACTTTGTAGTCGTGAAGTTTGACTTTTGGCATGAACAAGAAAACTTCTATTTCAGGCAGCACAACATGAAAATTTTAGGTTGGGTTTGCCAATTCTTTCTCCCCTGTGGGCTGTATTTTTGTCCTGTAGTAAAGGATTCCTGTGCCACATCTGCTGTCCTTGTGCTGTATGACCTTAGTGAAGAAGGCAAGTGCCACTGTGTCTGAACCCAGTGACCTTGAGATAGGAGCAGAGGCATTCTGAAAACTTGTTTTTAGGGGGAAGGTTATCTTCTCCCTATTTTCAAGCTGCCCATGAACAG